ACAGCAACACGACCAACATGTCATGCTAACCCCGAAATCCCACATTCTCGGTTAGCGCTCCCCTCCGCTCTGCTCCGCCCCGCGGCGCTCCAAACCGCCTGCACAAAGCAAAGCCTACAGCCTCCACTGTGGCTCCTGTCCGCTCCGCTCTGAGTTCCTTGGAGATGGTAGAGGGCATGCGCGAGATGATTAAATTCAAAGCAGCAAAACATGCGGAAATGATCCATGGTTTCTGCGGATCATTCAAAATAATTACAATTCATAAATTTTTATGGGGGATTTTTTCATAAATTTTTATAATTTTTATTAATTTTTTTATTTTTAGGTGTAACAATAAACATATACCGAACCGAACCGAAAACCGTGACCACGAAACCGTGAACCCAACCGAACCGTGGATTTTGTGAACCGTGGCTTGACCTGGGGATTGCGGCAACCGTAGCCCATTTCCTGCACGCGCCTGTGCACGGTGGCTTTGGATGTTTCTACTCCAGACTTAGTCCACTGCTTCCGCAGGTCCCCCAAGGTCTGGAATCGGCCTTTCTACACAATCTTCCTCAGGGTCCGGTCACCTCTTCTCGTTGTGCAGCGTTTTCTGCCACACTTTTTCCTTCCCACAGACTTCCCACTGAGGTGCCTTGATACAGCACTCTGGGAACAGCCTATTCGTTCCGAAATATCTTTCTGTGTCATACCCTCTTGCTTGAGGGTGTCAATGATGGCCTTCTGGACAGCAGTCAGGTCAGCAGTCAGGCTGGGAGTTTTAAAGCCCTCAGGAATCTTTTGCAAGTGTTTAGAGTTAATTTGTTGATTCAGATGATTAGTTGCATAGCTTGCTTAGAGACCCTTTTCATGCAAATTTTTTTTGAGATAAGAATCATGAGCTGTTTGCCAAAATCATCCGTATTAAGACAATAAAAGACCTGAAATAGTTCAGTTAGTGTGCAATGAATCTAAAATATATGAATGTTCAAGTTTTATCATTAAATTATGGAAAATAATTAACTTTATCACAATATGCTATTATTTTGAAAAGGACCTGTCGATTGTATGAGTTAATTGCCTGCACAGTTAATGCAGATCAAAACTAACTTTCTTCATGTTTTTTTGTTTTTAGTTTAACAGTATGCTTGTAAACTAGATTGAATTCGCATTCAGATTGCCCCCCCTTATTGCGAGGACGTTTTCATTACTATTGGTATCCTGGCCCACTAAGATATCTATTCTTATTCAGGAAGGTGTGAACTGCTTTGAAACTAATTGGGTATTGGGCTTCATGCCGAATGACATGACAGTAAAGATTCTCAGTCATCCAGGTCATGGTGGTCAAGCTTGAAAAGTTCAGTTTAGGCAACTGGACGTGAAGTTGTTTCACCTCACATCCAAGAGGTATCTTGAGTTCTAACTTGTGGTCAGGTTGAGATGGTTTGAGCAAAGGGGTAAGGAAGCCATCTTTGTTCACCTGGAAAAACCATCTCTCAACAGAGGAGCTGGTCTTAGAGATAAGGTTTAATCTACTTACAAAGCACTTTTAGGAACAATACCCAGAAGATTCACCTCTCACCTGCCCTCACCTGACTCACACTTCGATAAGGCATGTGACTGAAACCAGTCCCATGAGAGAGTTAACGACCATTCAGAACCCCCTACCGTCCATTAATTTTCACCTCTCATGACTATTCCTACTGGAATAGTCATGAGAGGTGAAACATCTTCTAGAGAACGTCACATCAAGTTGCCCAAACTGAACTTTTCAAGCTACACGACATATTTTCAGCAGCTTAAATTTGAAACCTTCTGTTTTGAGTTACTTTTTTTCAGTTTGAATAGTGTTAATGTCTTCCTTCACTCTTCTGTCAAACCATCTATCTTCTCTGCTCGCAATATGAACATTTTGGTCCTCAGAGACTGTCCCTTAGCTGTAGGTGAACAGCTGAGTCGTGTTAAGGGTGTCTCTCACCTTTATATTATTGGGTTTTAGAAAGAGCTTATCCGTTTGCTAAATTTATATAACTTTTTTTGTCTTTCTTTTTATGAAAGGCTGTTGAATGTTGATGTTTGAACAGCGTCATGCATGTGCAATGTCGTCAGATAAGTACATCTGTAATTCGGCTCAACAGTTTGGAGCTTCTCTCCTACCCTGGATAGTGTTTTTGCTGTTGACCCTGAAAAGTTGAAGAGATAGGAGCTAGGAACGGGAGTTAGGAGCAATTTGAGGTAGAATCCTGCAAAGGATCTAATTATTTGATCCAAGTGTGGTAAGGCATAGACGCATCTAAAAGTGCAGGACACCAACCCTCGAGTACCGGATTCTGAAATCCCTGCTGTAGAGTTGTGATGATACATTTGAGTTCTAGGGAATGGTGAGAGTCCAATAGAAGGTACTGACCTGTGTGGATTTGTTTTCGGTAAACCTCAGAGGCTCCAAACTCTCTCCGTCTGGACCACACAGACCAAAAAGGCAGTTTGATGTCATTAGCGTCCTTTCTTTTGAACCATGTTGATGTGACTATGGAATTAATGTGTCTGGTGATCATCTCTACTCCGATTTTGGCCCAGGTGTCATATATCTGAAGTAGTGTCTTAGCAGTGTTCCCTTTAATTAGATAAGAACTCTCCTTTTGAGTTCATCTTGAGACTGGCCAAAATCGGTTACTATACAATCACACAGCCGTGCCTTTTTTTGTCCAAATTGTCATCAAATTGTAAATAACTGAAGCAGAGGCAGATGTTCTGCTGGGTACAGATGTGATCCGAGGTAAAACTGGTCCGGCTGTTGAAGTCCGCATCTCAGTTAGGTCATTTTCTGACTGTTTTCACTGGCTCTGATGTAAATATATCTGATATGACATTAACTTAAGGAACAATTATTTCTCCTGAAGATTCAAATGTTCAAGTTTCATTGCAAAATCTGTGGAGTTTTCTGTGATGTTGTGTGTTTCCAACAAAAAAGGGGGTTGAAATATCGATCTGGTGAGTTTACCTTGGTGACAATGGATCTGAGGGGTGTTATTTCTGTATTTTTGGAAGCCGACGTAAAAAAAAATGCGGCCTTCCCTGGCTAAAATCTGAAGTACAAGAAATTATGAATGGTTTTGTCCTTTCCAAGTTTCTGCAAGTAACAACAACACAAACAACCCCCACTGTCAGGGGAATCCAGTCTGTATGTAAATTTAGATCTGCCCAATGGGGAAAACAGCTGAGAAGCCTGGAACTCCCCTCTTACGAGCTCTGAACTGAGAAAGACCTTCAGATCAACCAGGAAAACAGAAGTCAACATGTTTTTTTTTGTTTTACATGTATTGTTCTATAATCCAAAAGTTCACCAGGTAACACAATAAAAGACAAAGACGTCAGTTCTGTTTTGCTTTTAATTCCTGATAGTTGGATGGCACCCTAAATTTATAATATTTAATCAAAATTAATAACTTTGTAATAATTCCCTTTGGCATTCAATACTATTCATTAGTATTTAGTATAGTCTAACCTAAAAAGGGTCTAAGAGCTGTAAGAACCAATTTAAAAAGTACCTTTAGCTGCAGTTTGTGTCATCTTAGCACTACAATCGTGACTGAGGTCTTGTTAAGCATGCATATGAGGCACAACATTAATCTATTAGCTTATTTCTTTTGGGATGTTTTTGTGCATGGTCCTCAACAATGTGGATAACATTTTGGATTTCTTTATATTTTCAAAGATCTGGAAGCTGGATGGTATTAACCCACATACATTTTTTTGTGCTGATTTTTCTGAGCTTATTCTCAGCCTTACATTGAATCTGTTATACACCATAGGTCCAGGGCTTTCCTCTCCTCCTTGCAGACACTAGACCCCTCTTCAAACTTTTAAAATTTTGTTTGTATTCCATAGCATCATTGCCAGGTTTAGTTGATAAACATAAGTAAACAAAATTATGAAATTAAAGGTTCAACAGTTAAAAAAGGGAAATTATAATGTATATAATATAAGAATGGACAATTCAGAGTCCAGACCCAAATCCATTTAAGAATACATAGCATGATTTGAAAACCGCTGTTCAGATCTCTCTTTATCCAGTCTGATTGAGCTTGAGTTGCTTCCCAATGGAGATGGGAAAATCTTTCTATCTCAATCTACAAAACCTGCAGGGACATTAAAATGCTTTTGGTCTTTGCAATGTTGAGGTCCAGTTTATTTTTCTGTCTCTCTCTCTCTTCTCAGACCAACATCTACAGTGCTCCATCTCACTGAGGTTGTGTAACATAAGGTAGGTTGCCAGCCTATCTTAAGCTGTCTGCCCTCCACATCCCAATTAAAATCCCAGTCACCAACAATAAGCTCTAACTGGTGAGTTCGGAGTTATCGGCTGATATGGCTATACTAATATTTACAGAAATGTAATGTGGGATTTCTCTTTCATTATTGTAAGACACAGTCATCAAAATTATAAGAAAGTTTTGATATATCTAACTCTACAATAAAAAAAAAAAACCTTTATTGTCATTACACTGTCATAAGTACAATGCAACGAAATTCACTATCTGATTTAAAACATCCCTTTGGGGAGCAGTGGGCTGCTATTGTTCGGCGCCCGAGAATCAGTTCGATATAAAACAATTTATGTTACTGTGTATTTAAAGTTAATGTGTATTTAAAGTCTAATCAAGCAAAACTTTCGCAACCCCCATGCAGTACCTCCGTTGCCCCCAAGGGGTCGCGAACCCCCTGTTGAAGACCTCTGGTCTAAAAGATTAGGCAATCTCAAAAATTCAAGTTTGAGAAAACCAATAAAAGCAATCTCTCTGATTTTTAAATGCACTGCTAGGGATGCTTTACATTGTTGTATCACTCAAAATATGTTAAAATAAAATGATTTAAAGATTTGAAGGAGGACATGGCCGTCATTATTTTTAAGCAAAGTCACCTGACACTAAAATATGGTAGTGTTATTCTCAAATCTGAAAATAAGCTATCAAGACAGAAATAAACTTTGGTTATAAAAAATTAAATGCTATTTTTATTCTAGACAAAAGTCTTGCAGTACATTCCAAACAGCGGACTGCCGCTCCGAAACACAACTTCCGGTAAGGCGGAACCTTTACGTCTTTCTACAAAGTTCCGTTTCGAGCATTTTCTATGTTCGGAGAATAAACGCAGGAGCACCGCCAGAGGTTTCTAGAAGCAGCAGCGTGCGGCGGACAACCACCCGGCAGACTGACAGCGAGACCTCCGGCTCTCTGCCACATTCAGCGTTCTGTAATAAATTATATCTCTTATTTATCTGCACAAATGGCGAAGTGGGGTGAAGGAGACCCTCGTTGGATCGTGGAGGAGAGAGCTGACGCGACAAATGTCAACAATTGGCACTGGTGAGACGGAATGAAAGAACAGCAATGAGCAGTTAGCTTGATGCTAATGCTAACTGCACGCTTTGATGTCATTTTCCTATCAAATTGCTTTTGTATTACATTGTTGTAAGCATGACCGGTTATTAAACAATGCAAACAATAACAGAGAGATGTTTAAGTTAGCTGTGCAGCTTTTACTAACGCTGTTCAGGTTAGGGTCACATGTAGCTAACGAGGCTTTGCATTAGCGGTCTTTGGCTTTTGATGGATCCAGCTTGTTCGCTTCTTATAATCGTAGGTGAGATCAAACACTGCTGCAAAGTGGTCCTAAATTATATTTAAAATTTATTAAAACTGTGGAACATATTAATATTTATTTGATGCGCATACAATCCTTAAAGTAAAGCAAGTAATCAACAGATAATTTCCCAACAAAACGTTAGATTCCAGATGTTTGCGTGATGTTATAAAGCGGTTGTTATCTATACAGGCTTAAATATTTATTACAATCCAGTTAGAAGATTTTTTTTTTTTTGTGATTTAGGTAGAGTTTTTATGATATTTAATCATAAGTTAAGCAATTTCCTGATTCAGCTTAGCAAGTTTTTATTTTTATTAACCCTGGTAAGTGCTGTTGAGACTTTTCAATGGGGTTGTCCAAAGTTATGTCAGATAAAACTAAACTGATAAAAGCTTTAGAATAATGTTTTCAATGTGTTGTAGAGCTGGAAAAAAGGACACATTTTTCTCTCTCAATTTACACCACATTGACATCTTATTAACCAAAATGGCAGAAGAAATTGTCGGAAAAAAATAAACGAATGATCTATCACCCAGTGCAATAGCTATATATTAAAACCCATGTAAATACGCTGTGCAATAACCCTGTAAAATAATCTTACTATTAAAAAAAAAAAAAAAACTGTCATATTTGGACGCACTGTATATACTTTATACATCCAATGTACCTTTATCTTCTCCTTTGACTATTTGAACTGATTTAACAAGTAAATTTCTACACCGTGAGATCAATAAATCAATGTTTTGCCCTTTTTTTCTATTTAATGAATAATTGTCAAATCCGTTTGCAATTTGTTCCCGCTGACAGAGTGTGATGTTTTATTCAAACTGCAGGTTTGGGGGCTTAAGGCCAATTAATGCTTCTGATGCATAGCCTTTGCAACCGTCAAATATGTCTCTGTGCGTCACCACGCCCCCCGGACAGAGGTTCTGTAAACGTCGTTGTGCACCTCAAAAAAAATCCTGACTACACGATAGTCGCAAAACAGCGTAGACCTCAGCCGGAAATGCGCAGACAAAAAGCAGCTGCGATTGGTCCTTGGTATGCCTTTCCGGCTGTCTGTGCGGTCGTCCTTCCGGATTTGGTGCCAGGTTGCGCCATGTTTAGTAAAAACCGAGGAACAACAACAATGGACAACTACGACGAAAGGTTAATCGGTCTTTTTGCCAACTCTGACA